AAAACAAAAAGATATTTACATTACGATTCATAACAGTAGCAAAATTACAGTTATAGAGTAGCAACGAAAATAATTTTATGGTTGGAGGTCACCACAACATGAGGAACTGTATTAAGGGGTCGCGGCATTAGGAAGGTTGAGAACCGCTGGCCTAGAGGAATGCGGCTTCCAGGGCAGGCTGGGTGGGAGAGGCCAGTAGGCCATTTGGACAGGGCTGGTTGACAGGGTGGGGCACTCACTCAGGCGCAACATGCCCTCCCCATCCGGCTTGTCGTTCCGCCACTGGCCTTCGTAGATGTTGCCGTTGCTGTAGTACATGCGGCCCCACCCGCTGCGCTGGTTGCCACACCACTCACCCTCGTAATACTCCTTGGGTCCGAAAAACTGGACCCCGTAGCCCTGAAAGCACGAAGGTATCCCTGCTCACGGCGCCCCCCACAACTAGGAAAACCTTTCCATCCTCCCTGACACCCAAGCCACACACCTGAACTTCTTCCTTGCTTCCTCCCTCAGTCCTGCACCCCAGCTGATGGTCTCTTATTGCAAAATCGCCCCAGGCTGTCCATTTCCCTCAGTTCCTCTTCTGCTACCGCCTTGCCTTCCTGCAGCTCGCCATCATTTCTCCCCTCCTCGCTGGTCCCCTCCTCCACCCTCCGCTTCTCCCAGTCCCCAGGCATCCTCCATACAACAGCTAGAAGGATCTTTACATTGTCCATCGGATCAGGTTTGCCCATCTCCCCAAGTCTGATTCTATCCTACTAAAAGTCACAGAGGTCTCTGAGAATCAGATCAAAGCTATGGACCTTCCCCCCAGAAAAATGAACATCAACACCACACTCAGGGTCCAACCACAGAGAATCATGGACTCCCTGCAGATCACACCTAAGGAGGCTGGGTTAAGCTGCCCAAGTCTGGCCCTCAAAATTCTGATTCCCCACCTACCCTTCATTGCCCCCAGCTACCCCTCCCCTCATCCCCACCCCTGTGCACACACACACCTCGCTGACACATCCTTCCTTTAGCTACTTCTGCCTCCTTTGCTACTTCCCCTTCTCCTTTTTCCCTCCATGGTTAATGCTTTGCATCTTTTGGTGTCACCTCCTACAGGAAGCCTGCCCTGAATAGTCAATGATCTTTCTCTGGGCTGCCTGTGCAAACTTGTATCCTAACACCATATTATATGTAAATTATTTATTTGGGGATCCCCCCCCCCCCCCCCCCGCTGGCCATTAAACAATTTGAAAGCAGGAATCATGAAGTCCTAGGCTCTGCCACTTGCCAGCAGTGTGACCCCAGGCAAGGCACTTCACCTCTCTCAGCCTGTTTCCTCATTAGTAAAATGGGAATGACAATGATGGTGATAATGACACGTGAGTACCACATCATGTTCCAGGATTGCAATAGCAGTTGTTCAACAGCTATACTGTATTTTTATGTCTCCATGGCCTATGGCAAGGATTCAGACGTTTATGGTTTGAGGACATGCCCCTGGCTGGCTTCTACTCCTGGGACCTGAGACTCTCCTTTCTAGCCCTCTGACTCAGGGTGTGGCCTCAGTGTTTCTTGCTCTCACTTTTCCTACCCTTCTCTTATGTTGGCCCAAGAGAAGGGGGATTCTCAGAAAGGGCTGCGCAGGGAAAAGAAAGCCAGGAAGTGAGTAGGAGAGAGTGGGGAGGAGACTTCACCCCCACACTGCCTGGCTGGCTTCTTATAGCCACAGGGTTTCACAGGCTCCTCCCTGGGCCCTCTCCTCTGGCTTCCTGTTTCCTGGGTTTTGTTCTGAGAAACCTTGATGATTCCCCCACCCCTTCCTTCTCCTACCCACACAGTACCCCTGTTCTCCTCCCCTCAAACCTCCCCTGTCTCCCAGGCCACTCAGACTGCTCCCCCTACACACACACACACACACACACACACACACACACACACNGCAACCCACCTGCCCTCATCGGTGACTCATGGCAGCCCAGCTCCAGGTTGAGCTGTTGTTCAGCATCTTAGCTGTGGAGGGCAGTGTCACTGGCCCTCATGTGCGGGATCCAAACCATGGCCCTCTGGTATCCCAAGCCAGTTCTTAACCAACGTGCCACTCGGCTGGCCCACATACACTATTTATCTGTCTCTTTGAAGGCAGGTGTTTTCTTCCAACTTTTTTTTTTCACCATCTTAACTGTAGAGGACGCAGCATCACTGGCCCTCATGTGGGATCCAAACCAGGGCCCTGCTGCTCAGAACTGGCGTCCCAAGCCAACTCTTAACCAACGTGCCACTCGGCCCGCCCTCTTCCAACTTTTAAGTGAAAACTTTTAAACACACTAAAAAACATAACTGATATTACAGTGAATACCTGTCATAACCTCTGCCTATATTCAACAATTATTGTTAAGTTACCATATTTGAAGTCAAAGAAGTTTTTGTGGCTTTTTCACTGCTGTGTTTCTAGGATCTAGAAGAAATGCCTGGCACCTAGCAGTTGCTGAATAATTTGTTGAATGAATGAATGATGTGCTTTCAGGGACTCCTGCTCCAGGTTGAGGGCTCAGGCTGAGGGCTCCGCTAGCGGAATCAGAAGCTCCAGGCCTGGTTGTGGGCATAGTATCCTGACCAGGAGTATGCTGCTTGCCCCAGCTGCTTGCCAAGCTGTGTGCCCAAAGGGTTGCTGTCCTCTTGGAGGGACAACTTTTTCCGATTTGCACAAACAGACAGTATGGGCCAGAGGCAGCCTTCCTGGGGTGGAAGCTTCCTCCGGCTATACAGAAACACTTCTTTCTGTGTTGCCCAAACTGTGTTCTCTCTCTGTGCTATCTCAGGCTGCACATCCAACATCTAGCACAGTCCTGGCACATAGCATGCACTTAGTATGTCTTTGTTGAATAGAAGAATGATAAGTGTGCTGTTCATCAGTCTTTTGTTCTCAGATCCATTCATTGTTCTTCCTTGGCAGGGCAGGGGGGTTAGGGGTGGGCTGCTTCCTGCCAGCTGCATTTCTCAGGCCTCTGGTCAGTTGTCATCCAGTTGCATTCAGCCAATGGAAGACACTGGCAGGAGACTGAGTGGCAGACACGAGAGAGGGTGGTGTCTCTGGCAGACAGGGCATCCCCTGCCTCTCAGGTCTGGCCCCTGGGCTCTGTCACAACCTGCTCCCTCTGTCCCTCCAGCCCTACGCATGGTGGCAGCTTCCTCAGTTGCTTATATCAGGACTGTTTTCTTCTCTCCTAGAGCTCTTTTGGAACATCCGACACCTTTGTAACGAACTCCCCCCTATTTCAAGTCCCTTCATCAAACTACCTGGGGTGGAGTTCAGTTTTCCATCTAGACTCTGATTGATGGAGTAGTGTGGTTAGGTGACCAATGATACCCAAAATATGTAATGTGCTGACCAGTTGGTGCAGGTAACCTGAGACTGGGTACAGTGGACACTGTGGGTGCCCACCCTGTTCCTTTCAATCTCTCTTACCAGCTTTGCGTACCATCCCCAGGATTCTATGTGCTTTGCTTTGGGCTTCTGATTCCTCTTCAGAGGAGCCCTCAGCCTGAGGACCTGGGACTGTTGGAGCAGGAGTCCCTGAAAGCACATCATTCACTCATTTGACAAATTATTGAGCAACTGCTAGGTGCCAGGCATTTCTTCTAGGCTCTAGAAACACAGCAGTGAAAAAACACAAAAACATTTTTTACTTCAAATATGGCAACATAATAATAATTGTCGAATATAGGCAGAGGGTATATGACAGGTAATCACTGTACTATCAGTTGTGTTTTTCTGTGTGTTTCGATGTTTTCACTTAAAAGTTGGAGGAAAAAAAACCTGCCTTCAAAGAGACAGACAATAAATAAGGTGTGTGTGTGTGTGTGTGTGTGTGTACAATGATGCTAAGAGGTAAAAACATGAAACAGGAATGAGATTGGGGAAAGAGAGAAACAGATGTAGAAGTATGTATGGAGATTTCAGTTTCAAATAGAGTGATCCAGGTGGTGGGCTTCCATCTGCAGTTCTTCTGAGGACTGTCCCTCAGTTCCTAGAGTCACTTCACTGTCTGGGCAGAGAACTGGAAGTGACTGGGAGCTGACACCCATCTGGGGTGGCCCTCACTGGCATAGGACAATGACGGACACAGGAGTGTGAAGGTCTTGGCTTCAAGACTGAAGGAAGTCAGGTGTAATTTTTTTTTCTTGTTTTCTTTTCTTTTTTTGTGTGATTCTTTTTGTTATTGTGGTAATATATACATAACATAAAAATTACCATTTTAATCAATTTTAAGTGTACAGTTCAGTGGCATTAAGTGATTTATAATATTGTGCAATCATTATCACTATCCATTTTCAGAACTTTTTATCATCCCAAACTAAAATTCGTGTGCCTGTTAAACAATTAACTTCCCATTCCCCTCTCCCCCAACCCCTGATAACTTCTATTCTACTTTCCGTCTTTATAAATTTGCCTATTCTGGGTGCCTCATATGTCACGTCCAGCGTGGCAAGGGCAAACAGGTTTCTCTTAAGGGGTGACGCAGATTGAATAAAAGCAAGAGACAAAAGTAAGATTAAGAGCGAGACCAAGGGACTCAGCCAGAGAAGACTGAGTGAGCCNGCCCCGGTTCGGATCCCACATATGAGGGCCAGTGACACTGCCCTCCACAGCTAAGATGCTGAACAACAGCTCAACCTGGAGCTGGGTTGCCGTGAGTCGCCGGTGACGGCCTAGGCTGCAGCCACTGCTACAGTGGGTTGCCATACGCTACCGTGAGTGGCCAGCAGCCAGCACGAGCTGCCAAGAGCCACCGTGAGTGGTCGTCCAGTGGCCGACGACCGATCTGCCTTACCTGGAAAGAGTGCAATGATAATACCAACATGGGCCAGTGAAGCGACATCCTCCACAACTAGACTGAAGAACAAAAGGACAGCAACTTGTCTATTCCCCTCCCCTAATTCTCCAATAAAATCTTTAAAAAAAAAAGAAGAATCACCAGATTGGCTTGTAAAATGCAGATATCCAAGCCCCTCCCCTGGGTGTGTCTGGATTCTGCATTTTTAACAAGCATTCCAGGTACTCTCAAACCCAGGCAAGTTAGGGAAATGCTGGTAGTTGAGAACAGTCTCTTTCAGTTTTATTTATATTTTGAATAGCTAATACATTCACATGGTTCCAAATACACAGGGAAAAGTTGCCCTCCCCTGTTCCTAGGTTCCCAGTTCTCCCCAGAGAACCATTGTTTGCCCGTTTATTGTGGTCCTATCTAGAGAAATTTTATACATAAACGAGCACAACGGCCCCTACTTTTTCTAGAAAATGGTAGCCTTCAAACACACTGCCACTGCTCTGCACCTTAAGAGCAGATAGACTTTGAAACCCATGTCATTTTACTAACCATTGTCATGACCAATAAATTTAATAAAGTCTCAAAAAAAAAAAAGCAAATAGACCTGTGTTTAAGTACAGTCCCTTTCTAGCTTGATGACTTGTGAACCTCCCTGAACCTCAGTTTCCTCCTCTAAAATGGCAGTCATAATAGCAGGATACCTCATAGGGTTATGAGAGAGGAGGACACACATAAAGCTGTCATCACAGGAACCGAGTGAGTGTTATCTGGTTAATTCTGGATCTCAAGGCAGCCAGGCTCAGCGTCCTGGTGTCAGAAGTACAGACCGAGAGCCATGCCTCGAGTCAGACCACCCTGCTGACGATTTCGAGGCAGAGAGAAGCTCAGCAGCGTCAAGGAGCATTTTTTGAGCCACACACTGGGTGAGGCCTTGACAAACATCATGGTTTTTCAAGGTTACACTATTGACAGTGGGCTAAATCATTATTTTGTAGAGTGCATTGTAGCATGTTGAGCAAGATCCCCAACCCCTACCCACTGAGTGCCAGTAGCATTCTTCCCTGCTGGCTGGCACAGCCAAAAATGTTTCCAGACATCCCAAAAGTCCCCAGGGAGGGAGGGGGATGAAATCATCCTCAGATTAGAACCACGCCTTATTTGATCCTCACCATATTTGCTCTTCACTGTAACCACAACAACCCTGGGTGGTAAGTACGGTTATTGTCTCGTCTTAGAGGGGAAGGAAATCTAGAGAACAGAGAGGTTGGGTGATGTACCCAAGAACACACAGCTAATAAATGACAATGGATTCACACCCAGCAGGTCTGACTGCAGAGCTCATGTACCTACCCCTTACATAAGAGTCTGTCTTATCTTGCAAGAATGTTGTCTAGATTAGAATTATGCAAAGCCCTTCCCAGATACCTGCTTCACAAGTAACCTCAATACATGTTATTCATTATGATTACATCTGTTCGCAAATCCTCAAAATGCCCCTGTGAGATCTCCTAAGTCCCATTTTATAGATGGGCACGGAGATCACTTGCTAAGGGTCACACATCCAGTAAACCAGGGGTTCTTGGCCCAGTCTGCACATTAGAATCATCTGGGGAAAGTTTGAAGGCCCCGGCCTCACCCCAGACAGATGTGAAACTGGGTGTGGGACCTGGACGTCTGTAGCTTTTAAAACTCCCACTGGATTCCAAGGTTGAGAGCCCTTGTGTTAGGCCGAGAAGCCAGGTTGGGTTTTAACCCCAAATTTTGGTGACCAATGTGACCAGGTGCAGGCTCTTTCTCCTCTCTGGGGTAGCTCAGAGCTCAGAGACCTGGAGATACCTCCTGTCTCTCCCCCAAGTTCAACCCATGCAGCCCACAGGAAAGTCTTCCCTCTTTTCTGCCTGAAATCCCTCCCAAGCCTCACACCACAGGCCCCAGGCTAATGCCACCAGGTTCTTTTTTACTCTCATGCACTCAGGGATGGGGTCCTAGAGTGAAGGCCATAACAAGAGGGTCCGCAAGGCCAGCCGGGGAGAGAAGCACTGGCCCCCTATTAGCAAAGAATGATCCAGTGCTGGGAGGAGTGAGTGCCCTCTGAGGGTGCCAAGGGTGTGCCTGGAGTCACCATTCCCTCCTCCAGTGGGAGCCGCACCGGTCTGAGCAGTTGGTTGACGTGGGCTTCACTTTCTCCTGCAGCTCTCGTGTTTTCTCTGCAGAGGCGAGGGGTTGGTAGGAGCTGGCGATTCAAAGACAGTGTCCCAACGCCCTCACCTCGAACCCCATTTATACCCTCACCTGAAGTGGCTAGGACTGGAGGAGGCCCACTGGAAAGATGTGCAAATGGAGGCCTGAGGCAAACCACTTACTCAAAGGCATTCCAGGGCGAGCCAGCCACCTGACTCCAAGCAATGTTCCTCCCTGTAAGCCCAGGGTACAAATGGGAGGGTTTGGGCAGGACTGGGATGAACTGATCTTCAGGGAAATGAGCTTTGAAGGGGAGGAACCAAAAAGGATCAGCTGGACTGCAGGAGGCAAGAACCCACCCTCTCTGGTCCTGTCCCTGAGCCCCTTGGCCAAAGGAGACCGCAGGAGCTGCCTCGCCCACATAGAGGGTGGCAGGCGTGTCTACTCCCTCACCTGGCATCAGTCTCCTTGTGTCTTCTTGAACATGGCCAAGGCTTCCTCCAGCACACCGTCGGGATCTAGAAGTTTGATCTGGAGGGAAGCAGCAGGGGTTGGTTTGAGGAGCATAGAAGTCCCAGGTTGTCAGTTTTATGAGATGCTGCCTGGTTTTGGGGTGCTGCTTGCCTTGGAGGTGCTGCTGTCAGCCTCAGTGGGGGGGCGGTGCTGCCTGCCTTGTGGGGTGCTGTCTACCTCCCTGGAGATGCCCTGACTGAAAACAAAACCTTGTCTGTTCCCTCGCTGGGCTGGGCTGGGCCAGGCTAGGTGTGGCTGTGGGTGTGGGTGGGTGGGGGTTGCTGTTTGCTGTCTCATTCTGTATTTGGCCACAGGGCTCTAGTGAGAGCTGCCCACCTCAGGAATGGGGAACTGGGTGGGCTGAGGGGCCTCATCGCGGCCAAAATCGATCATTGTGCCACACTTGGCCACATCATCCACCCAGAAGCCTTCAAACAGCTGACCGTGGTCCAGGTGAAAGAAACGCCCCGACCCATTCTTCAAGCCTCGCTGCCAGTAGCCCTCATAGCGGTTCCCGTTCTCTGGAAGAAAGGACATGGAGGCGTGGGCACTGGGCGCAGCAACCCAGCCAGCCCACCAGGCCGGCTCCTCCATTACACCCAGCCTGGCCCTCTGCTGCTGGCCGGTGGAGCAGGGTCTGGGACAACTGACCTATAAACATTAGAGCCCTGGGGTGTCAGCGACTTCCAGAATCAGACCTGATTCACATCTTGCCTCCACTACTTAACTTGAATTTGGAATGAGCAACATGGTTTCCTATTTGTAAAAAAAATATAGCTAATCATATGAACAATGCTTTTTCGGCACTTATTCTGTGTCTGGTTCCATGCTGTTTCTGAGCTCATCCTCACAAAAACAGTTCTGTGAAGGATGCCGGATTCCATTTTACAGATGGAGCTTGTAAAGCTCAAGGAGTTTGACTCGCTCAAGGTCACAGAGCTAGGTAGCAGGGCAGCGACGAGGTCCAATTTACAAAGTTCACCCTGGTTGCTATATAGAGAATGGACTAAGCCCTGACACAAACGGGGGCTGGCTTCTCATTACTCTTTCCTCTGCAGTGTTCTTCACTAGCTCAGTGCATATCCAGCCCCTTCTCTTCCCTCAGGTCTTGGTTCAAAGGTCACCTCCTGAGGGAGGTATTCCCTGACACCTGTCCCTAAATCAATCTAAATAGCCCATCCCCAACTCCTTTGTCACTCTCCAACACACCTTCCTAGTTTTAAGGGGAATTCCTTAGCATTTTTGACTTTGCAACTAACAGGCTGTGTGACCTTGAGCAGGTGACTTAACATCTCTGTGCTTCAGTTCATTTGTAAAGTCGGGATGATAAGAGTACCTATTTTATAGGATTGTAGTGAGGATTAAATGAGCTCAGTGCTGTATAAGTGTAGGCTATGATTGTGATGACCATAAGAAAATGTCTTAATTGTTTATGTTTATTGTTAGGCTCCCCTTTATTAGAGTATAAGCACCCTGAGGGCAGGGATCTGGTCCTGACTGTTCCTTAACCCACACTGAAGCAGGGCGTGGCCCGATGGGGGCGTGACCAGGTGGGGCATGGCCATGCAGGGCCTAGCAGCGGTTCTCAACCTGTGGGTCGCGACCCCTTTGGGGGTCGACGACCCTTTCACAAGGGTTGCCTAAGACCATCGGAAAACAAAAAGATATTTACATTACGATTCATAACAGTAGCAAAATTACAGTTATAGAGTAGCAACGAAAATAATTTTATGGNTCCCAAGCCAGTTCTTAACCATCGCGCCACTCGGCTGGCCCTCAACAATTATTTTCTAATGAAGGATCCAACACACCAAAAAGGAAGGCAAAATGATTTAAAAAAAAAAAGATTTTATTGGGGAATTAGGGGAGGAGAACAGCGTTGGGGAATCGGGGAAGGGAAACAGACAAGTTGCTGTTCTTTTGTTCTTCAGTCTAGTTGTGGAGGACGTTGCTTCACTGGCCCATGTTGGTATTATCATTGTGCTTTTCCCAGGTGAGGCAGATTGGTCGCCGGCCTCTGGACGGCCGCTCATGGTGGCTCTTGGCAGCTCACAAAAGCTCATGCCAGCTGCTTGCCAGCCCCACTGCAGCTTACGCCGTCGCCGGTGATTCACGGCAGCCCAGCTCCAGGTCGAGCTGTTGTTCACCATCTTAGCTGTAGAGGGCGCAGCATCATTGGCCCTCATGTGGAATCCGAACCAGGCCCTGCTGCTCAGAGCTGGTATCCTAAGTCAACTCCCAACCAACGTGCCACTTGGCCGGCCCCAAAATGATTCTTGAGTAGCCTGAGAAAGTTGCTCTGACATTCTTTGGGGCTAGGGAGAAAAACTTTTCTTGTTTGTAGCCGTCATCTCCCTAAGCTATTTTCTCCTTGAGAGATAGGATCTTAGAAGGGCCCTAAGTCAAGAGTGGACCTGTTATAAAAAGAATAACTGCTTCACAGGTACCTCATAAAGACTATAGAAAAATAATAAAAAAGCAAACAAGGAAACCCTTAAGTGGACTCTAAATACATTGGTTAATACAGTCTTCCCCACAAGGGAGTTATACAGGGCTTTGTTATCAAAGGGCTTTGTGCTTAACTGAATGCTCTGCTGTCACCATTTTGAAATTCTTAATTTTTTGACAAGGGGTCTGAATTTTCATTTTGCACTGGGCTGCACAAATTATGCATTTGGTCCTGCCTCCCTCCGCAAACTTTTCTCTATGTCTTTGTTTTCTCTTTTCTAGTCTTACTCTTGTCTTCCTCTCTCCTCCCGTCCTCTTATTTCTCCTCTTTTTATTTTCCTTCCTTGGTTTCTTCCCATTCCTTTAGGCCTGCATTTAAGCGTGCCGTGGCCTTTCAAGCCTCAAAACATATGCCTGTTATGAGATGAAAATTGTGTTCCCCCAAAAGATGTTGAAATCCTAACCCCTAGTACCTGTGAATGTGACCTTATTTGGAAATAGGGTCTTTGCAGATGATCAAGTTAAAATGAGGGGATTAGGGTGAGTCCTAATCCAATATGACTGGTGTCCTTACAAAAAAAGGAAATGTGGACATAGAGACAGACACAAGGAGAATGCCAGGCAAAGACTGGAGTGACGCTGTCACAAGGAACTCCAAAGATTGCAGGCAAACCACCAGAAGCTAGAAGAGAATCATGGAACGGATTCTCCCTCAGAGCCTTCAGATGGCTGACACCTTGATTTCAGATTTCTAGCCTCCAGAACTGCAAGACAATACATTTCTGGTTAAGCTAACCCAGTTTGTGGTACTTTGTTACGGTGGCCCTGGTAAACGAGTACAGTTTCCAATAGGTCCTTAATAAATAAAAGGGATGGATAAATAAAGGACAGTTTTATTGTCTCTGGCTCTTCAAAAGATGACAAAAGAGATACCAAGATAATAACTTGGTCCAACCTTTCAAGTCTGGTGAATGGTTGAAAAACAGGCCCTTTCCCCAACCTATATAATTTTTCCCCATGATATTTTCACATATTTGATTAGTACTGACTATTTCCTGTGCCTCAGACTTATCCCAGGCTATGGGCATATGGGTGAGTAGAGTGGGTGGTTATGGTGGTGGACACTATTGGTTGCTACTGAAATTCAACACCCCACCTACCTTCCCTCCACGATGGCAGATTTCCAAATGTGTTTGCTTCCCTTTTGTCCAGGGAAAGTGACCCAGTCCCCAGAGACAAGGGGTGAATTATAATTGGGCAAACTTTCTGTAAAGATAGTAATTATTTTTTGGCTTTGCAGGCCAAACATTCTCTGTTGTGTGTGTGTGTGTGTGTGTGTGTGTGTGTGTGTGTGTGTGTNAACCATTTCTCAAAAAAAAAAATCAGTACATTTATCCAAGAAAGAAACTTGAGGTATCAATACTACAAATGGAAAACCAGTATCAGGTACCCTAAGAGGAAGGTACCTACTTATAAAAATAAAAATACTAAAAAGAAACCAATTTAAGTCTTAGCTAGATTGAGAGTAGCAAGTGTTCAGAAGGGTGTTAATGCCATATTAGCCCCAGAATTGTAAGAGAACCTAGAATCCAGTAACTTTTTACGATGTCACTGGGGGTCATTTAATGCCTCATCAGCGTAATATAAACTCATCCTCTGTCCCACACTTTCGGGAGCACAGGTTACACTCAAGAGGAGGTTGCAGTCTTAATACATGAGCTACTGGTAGGAAAAGAAAGCCTTGCAACGCAGTGCGCCGACCCCGTTAGGGTTGTTTTGATACTGAATAACAATAATTGGCATGATGGAAGATAGAAGGGCCGGACCCACAGAGCTGATGATCCTTCCCGAGCTCCCACCCGGTCCCCTCGCCTGCGCCCTCTCACCTGCGCTCACCTGTGGGATGGAGCCTGGATCCGGAGTCTCGGGGCGGGAGCAGCGGGGTCGCAGCCTCCGGCCTGTATTGCAGCCAGCTGCGCGCGCTCCGGCGTCCTGGCGCGGCCAGGGTCGCTATGGTAACGTGGGGCCACTGCAAAGCCGTGCGGCAGTGTCCAGCCCTTCCTGCTGAAACTGTGCGCTCGCTGCGCCGCGCGTGAAGGGTGCGGGTCCTTGGGCGTCCGGGGAAGGATGTCTACCGGCTTGTGGAGGTCGAGTGCCGGCTGGTACACCCCTCTGGTGGCTAAAGGCTAGTGGGCGAGCCGGGGAGTCCTGATATCCGCTGAGCTTGCTTGGGTCATGGTGTCCTGCCCTCCCCACCCCCACCTCTCTCTCGTTTGGGGTTCCCCAGAGCAAGTACAACGGCCGAATCGGGCAAGAGAGGGTTAAAGGCTGTTCTGCCAAGAGGCAAAGACGAAGCGGCAATATTTGAAGGGAAAGCCAACATCACACCGGCTCTTAGGCTTGTGGGGGTTTACTAGACGCCTTTGAGAATCTGAGGGGAGTTTTATAGCCCCTCCAACCCTGGAAGATGCATACGTTTTACATGTACACAAGTTGGCCCAAGTCACTCCTTCTGGGCGCACACCTTTGTCACTCAGAGTGAAAACCACAGTCCTGGTGGCCTTGAAAGTCCTGCTTCATCTGTCCACCTCCCCTTTCCTCCCTGACCTCGTCCCTTACTCAGCTGGTGGAGTCTCTCTGCTTGGGCCCCACACACTCGCTGTCTGGAAAATGCTGGACATGTTCCTGCCTCTGGGCCTTTGCCTCTTCTCTACCCTCTGCCAGGACTTCTTTTCCCAGGTAGCAGCCTGGCCCTAACATCATCTTCTCAGTCAGAAGTTTCTGGATCACTCTATTTGAAACTGAAATTGCCATATATACTTCCACATCTGTTTTCCTCTTTTCCCAATCTCATTCCTGTTTCCTGTTTTTACCACTTAGCATCATTGCACGCGCGCACACACACACACACACTCTCACTCTCTCTCTCTCTCTCTCTCTCTCTCTCTCTCTCTTTATTTATTTATTTAAAAGATTTTTATTGGGGAATTGGGGGGATGGGAACAGCACTGGGGAATTGGGGGAAGGGGAACAGACAAGTTGCTGTCATTCTGTTCTTCAGTCTAGTTGTGGA